TTTTGGCCCCCAGGGGCCCCGAATATGTCCATCTCCACCGCCTGCGGAGGTCTGGGAAGATGGATCCCCCAGGCGGTCGTTATGGATAAATCCCCGCCTCGGAGGATCGGCCATGGATAACACTGCCGCCGCCATGAGACAGGGAATCCTCCAGGAACCCTCCAGGGTCTGCAGCCACCTCGGCACATTCGCCAACGAACGCCCCCACCGTTGTAAGGGAGACCAAAAGGTACCTATACTGCCACGCCCCGGACCTCTGGGGTGCGTTCTGACCAGGATTTCAAGGAGATCCAGCGGTGGCGACTAGGGCCTCCCAGGAGGCCCAAAAATGGGAAAACAAGGAAGGGTATCGGTACAGTGGGGGCCCGACCACAAAACACCCTCCACAAGAAACCCAGCCCGGGAGACCCCAGGACGTCCCTCGACTTCTGGTGTGGGAAGGCCACGCCTTTTCCATGGCAGAGCCATCGAAACCCGAGAGACCCAGGGCACCCTGGAGGCAAGCAGGGCGTCCCTTGGCATGGGCCTCCCCTGTGTGGGTGCCTCTTCCCCTCTTGACGCAGTGTGCGAGACCAGGGGGGGCCCACCCCCGCCGGCCGCCCCCGCCGGCCGCCGCCAAGGCGCGCCCCCCCCGAAGCGCACGCTGCGCGGCGTGTGGCCCGGTGGGGGCAGGGGCCGAAAGGCGGCGCGGGCGCGCGCAAGGGCCTCCGAGGGGGGGGGGGGGGCGGGGCCGGAGGGCCAGGTCAAAAAAAGAGTCCCAAAATATTCAGAGGTAGTTAGAAAAATGGTCAGAAAAATCGTCCCCTGACCATTTTTGACTACTTTTGAATGCTCCTCCTGCCGAGGGACAGGGCTTCTCAGGGGAGGGCCGGGCCTGAGGGTATGTTGTTCCCACAGTACTTGAGGACCACATCCCAGAAATAATTCCGAGCACCCAGGAAGAGTATCGAAAGGGTGTCGAACGAATATCGCCCCCCATAGCCCGACACGCGGAAGCCCTTCAGATTCGGTACTTTCTTGGTGCTCGGAATTCTGAAGTATTCCTGGTGGTCAAGGCTAAAGCAGGTTGAAACATCATAAGCCTTGGGTTAGGTTCGTGAAGTGCGACTACAGGCGGTCCACGACCACTTCCAAAACAACAAAAAAAACACCAGGAAATCTTGAAACCAAAACCTGGGGAGGTCGACATTCTGAAAAAAACTCAAACACCGAGCCTGCGAAAAACTCCAACCCACAAAAACATAGAACAAACCCGAATCTCAAACCTGGGAGAAACAAAAACTCAAACCAAACGAAAACTCCAGAAAATCTCTAAGCCAAAACCTGGGAAAAACTCTGGAAAAAACTCTGGAAAGGGAAACATCTAAAACAAGTCTTAAAAACAACTCTGAAACAACTCTGGAAATAAACGACTGACAACTCTGAACAAAAACTCTGGAAAAACTCCAAAAGAACTCTACACGCTTGAAAACTCTAAAGACTGTATAAAAACTTTGGAGAATTCAAAAAAAACTCTGGAAACACTCTAAACCATCCGTTTTTGGGGAAACCAAAAAAGCTTCCGGGTTTGAGTTTTTGTTTCCGGGTTTGAGCTTCAGGTTTTTCTAAGTTGTTTGTCGGTTTGAATGTTTCCCCAGGTTTCGGCTTCAAGATTTTCTGTAGTTTCTTCTGTGTTTGAGTTTTCCCTAGGTTTTGTGTGTTGAGATGTCCTCAGGTTGTCTTGGATTTTGAGCTTCCCATTCAAGACTCCTTTAACATTGGTTTGGAGTCTGAGTTTCCGGCCGAAGATGTTCTGAAGATTTCGGCAGGTTGTCCTATGGACCGCCTGTAGTCAATTCACGAACCTAAGCCTTGGCGCCATCGCAGACAGGAGGAGGAAAGGAAAGAGCAAGAAGAGCGGCAAGGGCAGCAGCAGGAAAGGGAAAGGAGCAGGAGCGCTGGACGAAGGAGGAGGAGAGGGAGAGAAGGAGCCAGAAGGAGAACAGGGAGGATTGGATATGGGTGCCATCGAGATCGCTGCCGTGAGCACGACCGTCGCGGGGGCCTTCCAGTGGGGGGAGGGCCGAGGCCCCGGCTTCGGATGCTGCTCGTCGGAGAAAGGGGAGGAGGAGGAGGAGGAGGAGGAGGAGGAGGAGGAGGAGGAGGAGGAGGAGGAGGAGGAGGAGGAGGAGGAGGAGGAGAGAGGAGGAGGAGGAGAGGAGGAGGGAGGAGGAGGAGGAGGAGGAGGAGGAGGAGGCTCGCCGCGCCTCGACCATGTCCCGGGGCCACGCGCTCCGCTCGGTGCGTCGACGCCGCGTCGAACCCCGTCGACTCCCTTCCTTCCCCCCTCCTCCCCTCCCTCCTCCTTCCTCCCTCCTCCCTCCTCCCTCCTCCCTCCCTCCGTCGCACGTCCTCCCTCCTCCCTCCTCCCTCCCTCGTGCGTCGACGCCGCGTCGGCGCTGCGTCGAGCGTTTTTCTATTCGGCGTTTCGACATCGGGCGGAAAGGGGGGGGGGGAGGGAGGGGTCTGGCTCCAGACCTCCGCAGCAGCGCGTCCCGATTGTAGGGAAGGGGCTCCACCGGCTCGAAACAGGCGCCCAGAACAGCCAAGATCCACTCCAGGGGGGGGGGTCGGAGATCTGCGATGATCGGCAAAACAATGAATAAAAACACGATCGCCGATGACCCTCAGAGCCAGGCGAAGGCTGGCAAACCCGTGGTTGCTGAAACGGAGCTCCGGGAAATTCTTGTTTTTTTCCTCCAGGAAGCAGCCCGTTTACCATTTAGCGCGCTGAGTCTTCTTCCGGGAATGTGTTTGTTTCCTCCCGGAAGACCGTTTTCGTAGCCGCGGATTTGCCAAGCGTGCAAGCGTCGCCCAGCTGCCAAGCGTTAGCACCAACGTGCGTTGCCCAAGCCTGCCTCGTAGGACCAGGATTTGCCGTTTCCGTAGCCTCGCCCAGCTGCCGAGCGTTGGCACCAGCGTGCGTTTGCCCGCCGGAGCCCGTGCACACGCCGCAGGCGGTGCAGCGAGGGCCGACCCAGGGCGGAAAAAACACACTCAAGAATGACACGCGCACGGCCCGAGGACCGTCGAGTCGCCAGGGTGACTGAGCTGGTCGAGACCCCAGAAAATCTGCCCAAACCCCCTCAGGGCTCCCTCTGAAGCCAGTGGGGGGTCCTAAAAGCGCCCTATAGTGGCGCCCGCTGGAAGGTGGCGGCAAGGCCAGCTCGATCGGCCTGAGGACCGTCGAGTCGCCAGGGTGTCCGAACTGGTCGAGACCCCGGAGAATCAGCCCAAACCCCGTCAGTCGGCGGCGCGCAGCGGGGGGCAGGGGGAGGGGGGAAGGCTTCTTAGAAGCACCCCTGCTTCTCAGAAGGTGCGGGCCTTCTCTGTAGACGTGAGGCCGGCGCCTTCTAAGAAGCAGCCTCCTTCTAAGAAGCCTTCCCCCCTCCCCCTACCCCCTTCTGCTCGCCGCCAAATCAGGATCCCCTCTAAAGCCAGTGGGGGGTCCTAAGAGCGCCCTATAGTGGCGCCCGCTGGAAGCTGGCGGTGCCTCGGCGCGGAGACTCGGCGGTCCACCAGGAGGAGAAGGAGGAGGAGGAGGAGGAGGTGCCCTGCGGGCATCGCAGAAAAGGCACGTGGGAGGTGCCTGCGGGCGCCTGGGAAAGGCACGTGGGGGGTGCCTGCGGGCGCCACAGGAAGGTAAGGCACCTGGGAGCTGCCGGCGGGCGCCCGGGAAAGGCGCCCGTGGGAGGTGCCCGCGGGCAGCACGAGATGAGAGCACTCTGGAACGGGCCCGCGGGCGCCTGGGGAGGGGCCCTCGGGAGGTGCCCGCGGGCGCTTCGGGGGGGGGAGGCACTCGGGAGGTGCCTGCGGGCCCAGGAAAGGCACCTGGAATCGGCGACCCCTCGCCGATGGATCGGCGCGGGGGCCCCGCGGCGGCGGCTCCGCGCGCTCCCGGGGCGGCGCGGGGCTGTGGGGCCTCTGTCGGCGATCTATGGGCGGTGACGGGTCGATGCGCTCCCCCTCCTCCTCCCCCTCCTCCTCCTCCTCCTCCCTCCTCCCTCCCTCCCTCCCTCCCCTCCCCTCCTCCCTCCCTCCCTCCCTCCCTCCCTCCCCTCCCTCCTCCCTCCCTCCCTCCTCCTCCATCTCCTCATCCAACGCCTCCTCCTCCTCCTCCTCCTCCTCCTCCTCCTCCTCCTCCAAATCTATCCCCCCCTCACGCTGCCGCGGAACCAAGCCATCGGCGGGCGAGACGGAAACGGAACCGCACGCCGAGGGCGGTGACGCCAAGGGGGGGGGGCTGTGGGAGTTACACTCGGAGACTTGGAAAGGGGCACCAGCACCAAAACAGAGGGGAGGGCGCCCGCAGGGGGAGGATGATCCTAGATCTCGGTGTCGGTGGTACTCTTTCGGCCACCCAGAAGGCCCGAAGATTACGGCCATCATCGAGATCGGGAGGCTTCTCCCTCGGTGGAGGCACGCCGCCGATATTGGTGCTGGTGTCAGCCTCCACGCCTCCAAAGTTATGCGGGCCCGAGGCTTCCGCCAGTGCTGTGCGAGCGGGTGCCAAGCTGGGCCGAAGAAGCCCGCGTGCGCGGGCCCAGGCTCCGAGCTGGCCGCGCTGCAACGCCCTGTCCGCACTGCCTGGAACACAGACTGCTGCCTCTTGACCTGGTGGCAGCTCAGATCCCATCGCAATCTCAGATCTAAGGGCGTGCTCGATCCCGTCCGAGCAACATGCCTTCTGACTGAAACACCCATCTCCAGAGAAACTGACAACTACACAAACACAGACTTTCTGAGGTCCGCGCAGATTTCTTGGATCGGCGCTGGACCCCCTCCCTGGCGCCAGGGGTTCCAGCGCCGACCCAAGATCTCCGCGCGGAGCTCCAAAAGTCTCTGTTCGATTATGCCCACTCTCCCTCCTGGAAGCACGCGGCCCGGCTGGAGCACTCCTCTCGCAGCACGCCACAGCACGGGGAAGCAGAGCCGGCGGACGAGGCGGCGGGTGGGACGGCCTCCTGCTCCATCGCCCGGCACAGCCACACCCGGCGCAACCACCGCTGTATCCTCCGCGACGCGCGGCCCACGAGCTGCGACCACGCCCGCATCTTCCGCGCCCGCCACTCCGCCTGGGGGCGGTCGGTGGGGTCTCCTCCTCCTCCTCCTCCTCCTCCTCCTTCCTCCTCTCCTCCTCCTCCGCCTCCGCCCTCCTCCTCCCCTCCTCCTCCTCTCCTCCTCCTCCTCCTCCTCCTCTCCTCCTCCTCCTCTTCCTCCTCCTCCTCCTCCTCCTCCTCATCCCCTTCCTCCTCTTCCTCCTCCTCCTCCTCCTCCTCCTCCTCCTCCGTGCCGTGCCGTGCCGCGCCGTGCCGCGCCGTGCCGCCGCGCGGTGCTGCCCACCCTCCAGAGCGTGGCCAGTGCCCCGCATATAGGCCTGGGCCCCCGAGGCCTGCCCTCGCCGGCCCGCCTAAGGAGGAGGAGGAGGAGGAGGAGGAGGAGGAGGAGGAGGAGGAGGAGGAGGGAGGAGGAGGAGGGGGAGGAGGAGGTGGGAGGAGGAGGAGGAGGTGGAGGAGGAGGAGGAGGAAGGAGGTGGAGGGGCGAGGTGAGGGGGGGAGGAGGAGGAGGAGGAGGAGGAGGAGGAGGAGGAGGAGGAGGAGGAGGAGGAGGAGGAGGAGGAGGAGGAGGCGGCAGGGCACGGCACTGCAAGATACGGGAAGGAACCACGACACGACACGGCACGGCACCGAAATAGCATTCTGGAAACTACTTGCGGCACGGTACGGCGCGGCGCGGCGCGACGGCACGGCACGGCACGGCACCAAAATCGCAGTCTCGAAACTGGGCTACTAGGCGCGGCACGGCACGGCACCGAAGCAGCATCCTGGAAACTGTGCACGCCACGGCGACGCCACGGCGACGCCACGGCGACGGCACGGCACGGCGCGGCACCAAAACCGCATCCTGAAAACTGAGCACGGCACCGACAACTAGGCTCAGGTCGGGCATGTCCTCCTACAGGGGGATCTCGAACGAAAAATGCAAGATGCCCCAAAGATACCCCAACATGGTCACACAAAAAACTAGAAAAATCGTCCCCTGACTACTTTCTTAACTATGTTTGAGCATTCCTCCTGTAGAGGGACGCGCCCGACTTACAGCTAGGCAACTTCAGGCACGGCACGGCACGGCAGCGGCGCGACGGTACGCCACGCCACGCCACGCCACGCCACGGCACGACGGCACGGCACGGCGCGGCGCGACGCCACGGCGCGGCGCGGCGCGGCGCGGCACGCCGCGCCGCGCCAGGGCAGGACCGCACGGCGCGGCGCGGCGCGACGGCACGGCGCGGCGCGGTGCCCAAACCCCAGCCTGGCGCCCAAGACACGGCACCGCGCGGCACGGCGCCGCACGGCACGGCACGGCACGGCGCCGCCATCGCATTCTTGGAGACGGGGCACGGCGCGGCGCGGCGCCAAGAACCGAAGAAGGCACGGCAGGGCACGGCGCGGCGTGACGGCACGGCGGAGCACGGCCGCGGCACGGCATCGAGCTCTGGAGACCAGGACACGGCACGGCACGGCGCGGCGGCACGGCAGGGCAGGGCAGGGCACCGAGATCGCACTCTGGAGACTGGGCACGGCACGGCACGGCACCCAACCCAACTCGCGCTCTGGAAGCCTGGCACGGCACATTGCACTCTGGAAACAAGGCACGGCACGGCACGGCAGGGCGCAGTGGGACGGCACCCTTCTCGGATTCCGAATGCTGGAAAGGCCCCCTTCCATGTCGGAATCAAAACCCTAACGCATTCGCTGTTTTCGGATACATTTGGTACCCTACATCGAAGAGCACAACATGTTGGACAATTGATGCACTGACAGGGGCTCTCTAGCGGAGGCGCTGAGAGGGAACACTCGCCATGAGTTGTCCCAGACGAGTGCCTCCAAGCACAAGCGGTCACCAGCAGGTGATCCTCCTGACGGTGGGGAAGCAGGGAACCACGACCATCGGCTACACGCAGGAGTGACCCTAGGCAAGAATGACCTTTGGCACGCGGCTTGAGGGGGCTGCGAGGAGGCCGAATCCAAACGCGCAAGCCTGCGGGGGAACCCTGGGGGCCCGCACCAAAGGTACCCTGGCGAAGGGCCACTCTTACCGAACATCCAAGGATCGGACCTGCTCTGAAACGCCCCCTATGGGAATCCTGCTGGGCGGCGCTACGTCCTTTTTTGGCCTCCCGAGGGGCGCCACGACGCTGTGCCACTTCCGCCACCAGCAGAACCCCTTTCCAAGCCGAGAAACGAAATCTGATCCAGACGCAGCCGAGACCCGGAAGCCACGACGAGCCCTCTCCGAAGGCACACGATAGGAGGCCACATGCGAACCCTACCCTTACCCTACACGAGGGCTTCCCCGAAGGCCGAAGCGCCTCTGAGCAGCCACGCCGCCTGCAGAGAGGGCCTGCCCTCTCCCGCTTCCCCCCCAACGGCAGGGCAGCACCAGGGGGAGCCTCTGGAGGCCCGCATCGGAGGGCCACTCATACGCGTAGCCGGCGAAGGGTGAAATCGGGCCTGTCCTCCTACAGGGGGATTTTGGGTATAAAATGAATGATACCAGAGAAAAACCCCAATCAGAATCCCACCAGCCCTTTAGGGCGTAGGTGGTCTAGAGCGTTTCCTCTGCCAACCCCCCTTCTTTCCCTTCGGGGAGGGGTTTACCCCTCCCCTTACCCCTCCCCACTGACCTGGACGGGGCGTTCCGCGACGCGTTGGGACGCCCAAGATGGCCCAAGACTGCTCCAAGAGCGAAAAGGCGAGAAAGCACAAAACATTGATTTTCCTTAGGTTTTGGAAGGATTTTGGCCTCTTGGGGGGGCCCAAGAGGCGATCCGAGGCACTCTAGAGGGGCGAGGCTAATTGAGGCTCCCCCTTTCTTTGATATATATATATATATATATATATATATATATTCCCAACATGGCCCCAAGAGCGCCCCGAAGGCTCCCAAGAGCGCCCCAAGAGCGCCCCAAGAGCGCCCCAAGAGGGCCCCAAGAGGCGCCCAAGATGCCTCCAAGAGGCTCCCAAGAGACTCCCAAGAGGCCCCAAGAGAATCCAATATGGCCCAAGACGGCTCCAAGAGCGAAAAGGCGAGAAAGCAAAAAACAATGATTTTCTGTAGGTTTTGGACGGGTTTTGGCTTCTTGGGGGGGGGCCCAAGAGGCGACTCGAGGCACTCTAGAGGGGCGGGGCTAATTAAAGCTCCACCCTTCTTTGATAGATCTCCTCCAAGATGGCGCCATGAGCACCCCGAAGGCACCCAAGAGCGCCCCAAGAGCGCCCCAAGAGAACCCCAAGAGGCTCCAAGAGACGCCAAGAGGCGCCCAAGAGGCCTCCAAAAGGCTCCCAAGAGACCCCCAAGAGGCCCCAAGAGGCTCCCAAGATGGCCCAAGAAGGCTCCAATAGCGAAAATGCGAGAAAGCAAAAAACATTGATTTTCCATAGGTTTTGTAAGGATTTTGGCCTCTTGGGGAGCCCAAGAGGCGACTCGAGGCACTCTAGAGGGGCAGCGCTAATTGGGGACCCCCCCTTCTTTGATAGATCTCCTCTAAGATGGCCCCAAGAGCGCCTCGAAGGCTCCCAAGAGCGCCCCAAGAGCGTCCCAAGAGGGCCCCAAGAGGCCCCAAAAGGCTCCCAAGAGGCCTCCAAGAGGCCCCCAAGAGACCCCCAAGAGGCCGCAAGAGGCTCCCCGAGATACGCAAGAGGCCCCCGGGACCGCCAAGAGGCCCCAAAGACGGCCCAAGAGGCCCCCAAGCTCGCCATTGTCCTCCTCCTCCTCCTCTTTTTCTTCCTCCTCCCTCCTCCCCCTCCCCCTCCTCCTCCTCCTCCTCCTCCTTTTCCTTTTCCTCCTTCTCGTCCTCCTCGTCCTCGCAGTCCTCCATATCCTCCTCCTTATCCTCCTTCTCCTCCTCCGCTTGCTCCTCCTCGCGCTCCTCCTCCTACTCCTCCTCTTCCTCCTCCTACTCCGACGACGACGGCTCCTCCTACATCCTCCCCCTCTTGGGGGATATGGCGGCTCACCCCGCCCTTTGTTCTTCTGCATGCTCCCCCGCTCGCCCCAAGAGGGGCCCCAAGAGGCTCCAAGAAGCGACCCAGAGGCTTCCAGGATGATCCCAAGAGACTCCCAAGATGCCAAAATCCATCCAAAACTCTGCAAATCAACGTTTTTGGCTTTCTCGCTTTTTCGCTTCCGATGGCCATCCGAGGCCTGAAGATGGCTCCAAGATGGCCCAAGAAGGCACCAAGAGAAGCCCAAGAGAGCTCCAAGACGGCCCCAAGAGCGCCCAGGAGCGCTCCAAGATTGCCCCAAGAGCGCCCCAAGAGCGCCCCAAGAAGGCTTCAAGAGGCCCCAAGAGGCCCCAAGATGCCCCCAAGAGGCTCCCAAGAGATCCCCAAGAGGCCTAAATATGCTCCCAAGATGGCCCAAGACGGCTCCAAGAGCGAAAAGGCGAGAAAGCAAAAAACATTGATTTTCCTTAGGTTTTGGACGGAATTTGGCCTCTAGGAAGGCCCAAGAGGCGATTCGAGGCACTCTAGAGGGGCAACGCTAATAAGCAACCCCCCCTTCTTTGATAGATCTCCTCCAAGATGGCCCCAAGAGCGCCCCGAAAGCTCCCAAGAGCGCCCCAAGAGCGCCCCAAGAGGCCCCAAGAGGCCCCCAAGAGGCCTCCAAGAGGCCTCCAAGAGACTCCCAAAAGGCCACAAGAAGCTCCCCGAGATACGCAAGAGGCCTCCGGGACCGCCAAGAGGCCCCAAAGACGGCCCAAGAGGCCCCCAAGCTCGCCATTGTCCTCCTCCTCCTCCTCTTTTTCTCCCTCCTCCCTCCTCCCCCTCCCCCTCCTCCGCCTCCTCCTTCTCCTCCTCCTCCTCCTCCTTCTCGTCCTCCTCGTCCTCGCCCTCCTCCATCTCCTCCTCCTCATCTTCCTCCTCCTCCTCCTCCTCCGCCTCCTCCCCCTCCTCCTCCTGCTCCTCCTCCTGCTCCTCGTCTTCCTCCTCCTACTCCGACGACGACGACTCCTCCTACATCCTCCCCCACTTGGGGCGTATGGCGGCTCAACCCGCTCTTTGTTCTTCTGCATGCTCCCCCGCTTCCCTCATCACCTCCACTCCCCTGGGGCTCATTTCTGGACGGGCTGGTGGGGATACGCGAAGCGTCTAGAATTTGTTTGGGGCTGTAGGGCTAAAGGGCTATTGGGCTATAGGGCTATTATAGGGCTATGGGGCTATAGGGCTATAGGGCGATAGGGATATAAGGCTATAATAAGGCTATAGGGCTACAGGGCACCGGGCACCCGGGCACCCAGCACCCCGCACCCGGGCACCCACCCAGGCACCGGGCACCCGTCACCCGGGCACCCGGGCACCCCGGCATCCGGGCACCCAGGCCCGGCCACCGAATCGGCGGCGAACCGGGGCACCCGGACACCCGGGCCAGGCCACCGAATCGGCGGCGAACCCGGGCACCCGGGCACCCGGGCACCCGGGCACCCGGGCACCCGGGCACCCGGGCACCCGGGCACCCGGGCACCCGGGCACCCGGGCACCCGGGCCCAGCCACCGAATCGGCGGCACACCTCACCTACCCTTAAACCCGATAGGACCCCTACGGAGGCAAGCTCTGATTGGGGAAAAATAATAAAAAAATACCCCCAAAATCGTCAAATCAAACTCAAACATTGGTCCTCTGACAATTTGTTGTACTATTTGAGGGACACGCCCGATTTAAGCGAAGGGTCGCTCTTACGTACAACCCTCGCTCCCCGACGCAGGGGTTGACACGAAGCCAGCTACACTGCGGATCCGCCAGCACTCGAAGAACAGCCTCCCACACGGGGCCCAAACAGACGGTGCCCGCGGATCGCGCCGCATCGCCGCTGCATCGCTGGTGTATCGGCGATGCCGGCGACGTTGGCGTGGCGAAACTCGGGCTCCACACCGAGCCGCGCCGCCCAGTCATCGACGACGCGGCGCGATCCTCCGACCCCATTTGCTCGAACCCCGTCGGGGAGGCCAGGATCGGGCCCGAGCGGAGGCTGTCCAGACGTCGGCGCCTGTATCCTCCTCGCCGCGGCGTCGGCGTCCGCGTCGCGCTGCAGATCCCGCCGCCGCTGCAGCGCTGCCTCCACCGGGGCGCGCTTCAGCGCCTCGACCGGTGGGGGGGGGGGGCACAAGGCTGCCCGCCCATCGGTTCATACAGCCGTCGTGCTGCTGCGAGGGACGCGGACTGAGGAGCGAAGGAGCTGCTCTGGGCACGGCGGGCCAGGGCAACGACCAGGTCCCCTGACGCACATGAGAGGAACGGCCCTGGTCGGGGGCGTCCAAGAAGGGGGCGTCCAAGACGGGGGGTCGCAGATCGTAGCCCGAGGCATCCACGCGGAAGAGGGGAGGACCGGGTCGGGCGTTGCTGTAGGTGCCCCTGGCCCAAGGCGCCCCCAGCTCTTCGCGACGTTTTGGAGCCTCTGGGGCCCACTGTGCCTCGTGGGGGGTGCTCTGGAGGCCTTTAGGGGTCTCCTTTTGCAATCCTGGGGGCACATTGAGCCAGTGGCACGTCTGGCAAGCCACGACCAGGGCACGCACCAAAGGGGAAAGAGGTGGCCGTGTGCCCGAGCTTACGCCGATGGTCGCCCCTCCTCCTCCTCCTCCTCCTCCTCCTCCTCCTCCTCCTCCTCCTCCTCCTCCTCCTCCTCCTCCTCTCCTCCTCCTCCTCCTCCTCCTCCTCCTCCTCCTCCTCTCATCCGCCTCCTCCTCTCCTCCTCCTCCTCCTCCTCCCCCCCTCCTCCTCCTCCTCCTCCTCCTCCTCCTCCTCCTCCTCCTCCTCCTCCTCCTCCTCCGCCTCCTCTCCTCCTCCTCCCTCCTCCTCCGTCCTCCTCCTCCTCCTCCTCCTCCTCCTCCGCGCCCAATCGCGCGCCGCCCTCGCCCCGCGGGCGCCCCGTGCCCGCCTCGCCCGCGGGCTCGCGCCCCCCCCCCTCCTCCCTCCTCCTCCCTCACCCTCCTCCTCCTCCTCCTCCTCCTCCTCCTCCTCCTCCTCCTCCTCCTCCGCCTCCTCCTCCTCCTCCTCCTCCTCTCCTCCTCCTCCTCCTCCTCCTCCCTCCTCCTCCTCCTCCTCCTCCTCCTCCTCCTTCCTCCTCCTCCTCCTCCTCCTCCTCCTCCTCCTCCTCCTCCTCCTCTGCGCCCGCCCCGCGCCCACTCCGCGCGCCGGCCCTCGCCCCGTGGGCGCCCCGTGCCCGCCTCGCCTTCGGGCTCGCGCCCGCCGCGCGCGCGCCGGCTCGCGCTTCGGCGGGCCCACGCAGCTTGCACCGCACAGCTTGCACAGCTTGCACCTACCAAACCACTACAGCCCAACCCGAAGACCCGATTTTCGCCAGAATTTCGGGTTTGGGGGGGCACGGGCTTCATATGTTTTCCACGTTCCCCGCCGGAAACGGAAGGCAAATCGGGGCCTTCGCGTTGGGTTGGGGTGGTTTGGTGGGCGGCGAAGTTCGGTGGCAACTCACGGGTGCCATCTTGTCGGCTCCTGTGAGTCGACGCTAGATCGACGCTGGTCGACGCTGAATCGACGCCAATATACGCTATAACCGACGCCAACTCGGCGCCATCTCAGGACGCCCAGACGCTAATCGACGCGAGCCGGCGCTGAAAACGGCATTCAGAAGACATGCAAGGCTCCCATGGTCTGCCACCGAGACACGGGATCCGCTCCTTAGAAAGAACAGGCTCTGCGGCAGGTTCGCGCGGCCTCGGCGCGCGCAGCGGTTTTTGACACCGCGCCGGCCGTTCGACCTTGAGCCAATCGCGGCCCCCTGCTCGGGTCGAACCAGCCCTCGACTGCGGCGATGTTGATGAGGGTGATCCTGCACTTGTCCCCTGCGCTCGAGTAGGCTTGGTCCCCTTGCTCCCTCTCGTCGGGGCGCTCTGCCGAAGCCTCAAGAGATTTGAGATTGTTGGGTCCAGGCCCTTTGAGAATCCTCAATCCAGATTGCTGAGGACTAAGAGGGACTTGAGGACAGGCCCACTCCGTGCCGGGTCACGGTTGTGCATATACACGCACATTATATATATATATATATATATATATATATATATATATACGTGTGTGTGTACGAGAACCGTCGCGCGCGCTTCGCGCGCGCTCAGGTTCTAGCAGGCCCCAGGCCTTGACGAATTCACTGCTCGACTGAAGTAGTGGACTACAGTCCACGCATACCATTCCGCATTCCGAAAGGCCTTGGGGGAAAATGGTTGCGTAGGGGGGGCGGAGGACAAATGAATCGGGTTCCCAGAAGGCCTTCTGGGAGCATGTGTTTTTGGGGCGTCTTGGGGAGCCTGTTTGGGCGTGCCGTCGTCGTCGTCTTAATGTCGTCGTCGCCACTTTCGTCGTCGTCGTCGTCGTCGTCGTCGTCGTCGTCGTCGTCGTCGTCGTCGTCGTCGTCGTCGTCGTCGTCGTCGTCGTCGTCGTCGTCGTCGTCGTCGTCGTCGTCGTCGTCGTCGTCGTCGTCGTCGTCGTCGTCGTCGTCGTCGTCGTCGTCGTCGTCGTCGTCGTCGTCGTCGTCGTCGTCGTCGTCGTCGTCGTCGTCGTCGTCGTCGTCTCGTCGTCGTCCTCGTCTTCATCGTTTCGTCGTCGTCGTCGGTTCAAGAGGGCACTTGGGGCAACGTTGTGCGAAACGATCTGCGCAGGGCCGCGAGAAGGCGATCAGTCATGTTCCCAGTCAACTTCCCAGACAACTCTCATGTAGCATGATGGTACTTCGAAGCCTCCGGAGACTCGCGGGCCCATGATGAACCGTGTCCCCCGAAGGCTTCCTGGGGACATGGTTTGCTGGGGTGTGCTGGGGAGCCTCTCGGGCGTTCCCTGAGGGCCCCTTGGAGGCCTCCGGGGACTCTCGGGCCCATGATGAACCATGTCCCCGGAAAGCTGTCTGGGGACCTCATTTCTTGGGGTGTGTTGGGGGGTCTCTTGGGTGTTCCCTGGGAGCCCCTTGGGGGTCTCTTGGGGCTTCCAAGGGGCCTCTTGGGCGCCTCGCGGGGCTTCGTGGGAGCCTTCTGGTGCCCTCCGGGGGCCTACTGGCGGCCTCTAGGGCCAGAGACCTCGAAACATCGGTTGGCGGTCCCCCTCTGGGCCCCCTCTTAGGGAGCTCTTGGGGCACACTTGGGTTGTCTGGGGAGCCTCCTGGGCCGTCTTGGGGCCCTCTTCGGGGCCTCGTGGGCCGTCTTGGAGCGATCTGAAAAGCCTCCGAGTGAGGCCGTGAAGGAGCGCTGGACAGCGGGGAAAACGAGAACGCCTAAATCCTTCAAAAACCACCGGAAAATAAGTGAATCTTTCCTCCCAGGGCCCTCTTGGGGAACCTTTTGAGTCCGCGTTGGAGTCCTCGTCGGCCGTCTTGAGGGCACCTTGGGCGTCTTCGGGGCCTCTTGGGACCGTCTTGGGCCGTCTCGGGACCTCCATTAGCCTGTCGTGGCCTGCTTCGGGGCGGACCTGGGCCGCCTCGGGACTCCTCTGGGCCACACTTGGGTTCTCTGGGGAGCCTGCTGGGCCGTCTTGGGCCCCTCTTCGGAGCCTCGTGGGCCGTCTTGGAGCGATCTGAAGGGCCTCCGAGGCCGTGAGGGAGCGCTGGAAAGCGGGGAAAGCGAGAACGCCTAAATCCTTCAAAAACCATCGGAAAATGAGTGAATCTTGCCTCCCAGGGCCCTCTTGGGGAGTCTCTTGAGTCCGTCCTGGAGCGTGTTGGAGTCCTCGTCGGCCGTCTTGAGTGCAACTTTGGCGACTTCGGGGCCTCTTGGGACCGTCTTGGGCCCTCTCGGGACCCCCTTAGCCTGTCGTGGCTTGTTTCAGGGCGGGCTCGGGCCGCCTCGGGAGCTCTGGAACCCCCCACCCCCCGGCGGGCACCGATGGGGGGAACAGGCAGCGGCCCGCCCCCCCCCCCCGGGGGCTCTCTTAAGAGGGGTGCCTCTGGGGGCTTACCAAGGGGCCCTTTTTGGCCTTGTCGGTAACCCCATTGGAAACATGGTTGGGGCGGTGGGCGGAAGCCCAAGGATAGGAAGGCACCAACTATACACCAACACCGATCCTGGCCCAGGATAACCCTGGGCCCAGGATCGGTGTATACGCCCTCCTGCCTTGCGCAAGAAGGCGCATATACACCGATCCTGGGCCCAGGGTGATCCTGGGCCAGGATCGGTGTTGGTGTATAGTTGGTGCCCTCCGAAAGGAATCATGTTCCCGGAAAGCTGTCTGGGAAAGACGATTTACCAAGGTGTCTTGGGGGCCCGCCGGGGGCTTCCCTGGGGGCCCCTTTGGGGCCTATTGGGGGCTCCGGGTGGCCTCTTGGGAGCACCACGGGGATTCTTGGGGGCCTCTTGATGGCCTCCGGGGGCGTCCTGGGAGCCTCTCAGGCCGGGGACCTTGAAATGTCGCGCTCTTCGGGCCCTCTTGGGTCGCTCTTGGGGCTCTCTTGGGGCCCTCTTGAATCATCAGGGGGCCTCCTGGGCCGTCTCTGGGCTTTCTTGGGAGCCTCTTCGGCCGTCTTGGAGCGATCTGAAGGGCCTCTGACGCCGTCCGGGACCGCCAGGCCGAGTCCGCTTCCGATCGCTGCGCCCTCTTCCCCACGTAGCTGAAGAAGCCCTCCAGGAAGCCGAGGTCGTGGCGGGCGGGGTCGTAGACAGGTGCGCCGACGGACCTCGAGTCGCAGTACTGCTCCCAAGCGTGACTCAACTGGGGAGAGATGCGCCGCCCCATGTCGATCATGAGGGCAAGGATCGCCGCGGACTCCGCCCCGTCCAGGCCTCCAGGGACCACGACGTCCTTGGGCTCCTCCGCAGGCGTGGGCCCCTCGCCGTCGCCAGAAGCCTGGGGCCCCTCGCGCCCCTGTCGGCCTCGGGCCCCTCGGCCCTCCGCCGCCACGGCCTCGGCAGACCCTCGGCGTCGGCCCGTCGCAGCCGGCCCCTCCGCCGCAATCTTCGCTGGCTCGGTTTCCCATTGCCACAGTTTCCCCTCTTTCCGCTCCGACAGCACCCGGCACCCGACTGGCACCACGTCCGTCCCGTTGACGCTGCCCACCAGCAATTGTCGGGCGATCACTTCGTAGACCCGGCCAGCATGGAGGCGCCCTTTCCCGCGCCCGCGCGACCTCAGAAGCTTGACGCGGCC